CTAGCTACTGTGCCTGTTGAATGCCTGAAATATGGCTAGTGTGACTGAGGACAGAAGTTTTATTTTTATGTAATTTAAATTTATTTAATAAATGTAAGAAGCCACACGATGGGGTGGCTCCAGTATCCCGCAGCATAGTACAGAGATAATGTTGGGGCTGAGCCCAGTTGATGTTTTATATTTGCTAATGTTAGCTGGTTTAGAAGGTCAAGCTTGCAGGAAACAATAGGAAAGAATCTCTACTGGGAAAATACTATGTCCAAGCCTAGAATCTGAATGCCTCCAATTATTCTATATTAGAATAGATGTGGAGTGTTTAGTTCGGCCCTGGTTCTAGACTTAACTGATGGCATGGACTTTGAAGCCAGTGTTATAATGAGTGGAGACATTCAATAGGATTCAAAAGTAGAAAGAAGTCATCGAGCACTCGGATAACTATAATTTTTCCTCCATTGCCCTGGAAAATTCTTGAAAGATTCCCCCCCCACCCCAAAAAAGGAGTTCAGATATATCTGGGCTCCATGTTGATAAATAATAGAATATCAGTCTGTCTCAAAATTGCTTTTGGTGGAAGACTATACTTTACCATCTTGAGATTAGATTATTTCCTGGTGCTTTAGCTAAATTCATTCCGCAACCGTGTAGCTGGTTCAGAATTTTCAAATCTCCTTAGTGAAAATACATTGGAATATTCATCCAAGTTAATATTTTGTTAAGCTGTCAGTTTAGCTACAAGAATCAGTTCACCTCTTAATTTGTTGGCACCTTGATGAGAAAATGTCTATATCAGAGTTATCAATTCACCGTACCACTTAGTACCCAGCAACGTAAGAGTCCCTATATGAATCTGATAATTGAGATTCTTAACTCCAGTCTTTGCGTAGCTTTTCTCTTGAGATACCTAATAACTTCAGGAATTAAGTAAAGCATTCTATAGGAAATGCAAAATATATTGATCATTTGAATGGACCCCAAATGAATTTTCATTTTTCCTAAAATTTTCTTGGTCCAGTGGCCCGTGTTTTCGAGCTTATCTTCAAGTTCAAATGCTTTGAAGTAGTTTTGTAGGAAAATTTTAGTTTGTTGTATTTTTAACCTGTTTAAAGCTAGTAATTGTCATTGCTTTTAAAATTGTTTTATTGGTGTTGTTATTTGTTACTCTTTTCTTTCGATCACATTGCTTCCAAAGCTTGGATTTCTTTTTTTCTCATGTATTAGCCTAATTTTAGACCTGACAATGGATAATACTCAGTGAAACCTTAGATGATTCATTTAGCTGCATATGTGTCACCAGTTTCATTAACTGTAAATGAATATGTTGCGAATGATCCTTTAGGAGAGCAGTTCTGAAGTGGGGGAGTAAAGTGACACAAGGAAGGTGACTTTCCAATGACATCCCCCTCCTTTTATATAATGCAAGGCGTTGCTGATAGATGTGTATTATGCGTGATTTGAAAGTATGGAAAAGTCAGAACTCTTTTCTAGTCTCTCACTACTTTAAGAATTTGTGATTCCATGTTCATAGTCTTCCTGTGTATTCTCTCTCAACAAACCCAAATGACTCGTTCTTACAAAACTGAGTCTACTTTGACCCAAGGAGTTGCTGAAGGGGCAAAGCCTTTAACACATTGAGATTGAGACAAGTCCATAATCCTAACTGGTATTTAGTTTTCTTCTTATTTATTCAAAATAATTTTGCCCTTACAAAGGAAAATTGTTTATGACGACCCCAGGGAAATACAAAGGGGAGTTTTAATTTTAACCCTCATTCTCATAACAGCTCTTTACCACATTAACTCACATCTCTGTACGTATCTTTACATCTTTCATATCATTAGTTATTTTACTAATAAAGACAGTTCAGACTTTGGAAAGTAAACTTTGTGGCTTGCTTATTTTTTTAATCGCATCTCCTTTATTCTAATAAAGAAATGCTTTAAGCCATCAATTTTCTCTATTCCTGGTAGCTATTATCGTGACTATAATTGCCTACTTTCCGTTCTGGCTGATCTGTTGCTAGTCTTTCTCTGGATGTTATTAAAGAATATAAATGCTTCATAGAGCACCATAGTCTCAGCCAGAGTATTTTCAGATTCTCAGCTAAAATGAAACAGAACTGTGCTTTGGCTGTTAAGTAGCTCAGATTTGTAGTCAGAGTGTGTGAGCGTCTCTAAATTCATTACGTTAGTTGTTCCTGCAAGGTGGCATTTGAAAAATAGCTTCAGCTGTTTATAGATTGCGGTCCTTGGGCACCAGATAGTGGATGTTGGCATGTACTGCAGGAAAGCTGGTCAAAGTGGTAGCATCTCTAGCTGTTAAGAATAGAGAGTAGATTGTTATACTTGTGTCTGACTCTGTTGGATGCCCTTAAAAATTTTCCTTTTGAAACTTTCAGTTTATTACCACCTTTTCAGAATGCATAACATTTTGCAAAAATGTGCCTTTTGGTGAAAACATCAATAAGCTGTACGTGATGAGAAATTTATATAGCTGGACTGATTCGAACTTTGAGGATCCCAATACTTTGCAGTCGCATTACCCTAGCTTATTAGAGTCCTGTTTCACTATGACTTAAATTTCAATAATCGTAGCTACTTTTGGTTCACAATGTTAATGTGTTTCTATTGTTTATTAGTGAATTTACACTTAGTCTAAAATATAAACTGTCAGAATTTAAGTTTTCTTCTCTCATTTTTTAGGGGGGTGGGGTGGCACGTCAACTCTTCACCAAAAGTTTGCTGCAGTAGAATATGGGAGCATTTTATGTAATCACAAAACTTACAGATCTTTAAGACATATTTTGTACTCCCCTTGTTCAAATATTTCAGTTATTTTCTCATTGAGGGAAGTTCCTACTGCTTAGCTTAAGGGACCATTCACGATCTTTCCATTTCTTCTGTGCCTCATCTTGGCCCATTCCTCTGCAGGTGCCCTTTGCTTCAGGCGGTCACTGTGCTCCCTTCCTTCTTCGCCTGAGGATCACTTGTTCTTCCTTCCTAACTGGTTCCTCTTCTTCCAGCAGGGTTTCCTTGAACCACAACTCTGCTTCTTAGTAATCTCACTTAGACTAACTAGTAAGCTCTGTATGCCATTTACGATTTTTTTTTCATACTTTACTATAATCATTTGTTCACTGTCTGTCTCCTTTTATGGAATAATATTCCTTGAGGTGAGAGATGATAATGTGTCTTGGTTTAGAATCTGTCCTGTAGGTCTTTGGAATAATGTTTGGCGAATGAATGTCTTTGAGAGACACATTTCCTAATCTGGTTTACTTTGATCTTGGTTCTTCAGGCATTTGAGGGTATGGGCTATGCCATTTTCCTTACAAAAGGCTTTTTAAATTGACTCTCTAACTTCCGTATTGCTACCTAAAATGTTTAATAAAGGTAGATCTTGGGCTTTGGGAAGGCAGGAGTCTAATTGAATAGAGAACATAATAATATAATTTTTATCCTATCAGTTAGTTAAATAAAGTGCAATTTTTGTAAAATTGTAAAGACCAACTCTATAATCGTGAAATTGTGCATCTTGTTTATATTGTTGAACCTATGACTTTATTAGCGTACAAAAATCCTTTTGGAGAGAATAGATATTTAACAGCTTTTTCTTCATTTGAAAATACGTGGTTTTAACCTAGTCATAGTCCAAGACAGAAAGAGGAAGTTAAAACTAGAGAATATTTGCTAGTAATGAGCTGTAGACTTTAAACATAGGCTTGGTAGCTCTGAGGTGTCTCTGTAGTATTTGCATCAATAGTCTGCATTCTGTAGCAAAATACAAACAAAATGTGAAGAAGCCCATATTTTTACACGTAAGAATTTTTTAAAAAATTTAATTCATAATAGAATTATAACATTTTCATTTACTCTAAAATTTTGTTTTTATATGTATAATTAATATTTGCTTTCATATGATTATTTACTAAGACACTTTGTATAATTGTTTCGTAATATAGAAAACTGAGTCAGTGTATTATAGCTGAATCATAGTGCTGGCTGTTCTTTTTATTTATTGAAGCAACAAATGCTGTATTATTAACATTCCTTGTCCTTCAGTTGAGCTTGCAAAAGAAACTTGTTTATTAGATCTTAAATACTCTAAGAAATTTGTTATGGAAAGCTTTTAATTATATTTCCATTTTCAGGCTTTGATGTATTTCAAAAATCCATAGTGAAAACATAGGATGGGGAAAATCACTCACGTTGCAGTGGTTGGATATCTGCTCATTTTCAGAGACCCTCCGACCTCCTTTTGAAAAATATTTTTAAGATTTATTGTTTGTTAAAATTGGGTGTTGAATCTGTTGTATAAAGTGTAAAGATTACAGCGTGTTAGAATATTATTGCCACTTAAGAATGTGTTCACTGTTTGGGTTTTTGGAGCGCTGCCGCTCAGAGGTTCGTGGCATTTGGTACGTAGTTCACGTATTTCTAGTCTACAGACCTTCCCTATCGAGGCAGAGGCTGCGTGGTCTGATATTTGCATTTCCTACTGCTATAAAGCTCAACAATGATAATGAATGTGTTTTTTTTTAAACTTTCCATGTCATTACAAATAAAACTTGGAGTTTTTTGAAGACTAGTAATTTGCACCTTTAAGCAGCCACCTTATTTTGCTTTTGTCCCAGAATGTATTATGCTGCCCAAGTATACTGTGACAGCCTGAATAGAAAAGGGGGGAGGGGACATTGTCTTCAGCTGGCATGCTGTTATCAGAGGGAATGTGTTTCTGGACACGAGATTTAGCATTCATTGGTTGTCTGGAGAAAGCTATTTCATCTGAGGATTGGACAAGAAGCTGCGTCAATTTGCTGCTCGTCTCCAAGGCACTGGTGATGCTGCCTTCACAAGCTGGCTAACGTCACGGCTCCATCACCCAGCGGGGTGTGGACTCTCTTTTTCTGTTCTTCTCTATTTAATTCTCTATTTGCTGCCTACTGCATTTCTTAATCTGTCTTCTGCCAAATGCTAACAGCATGATATTTTGCAATCATCTAGGTGAATACAAGAAAGACGAACTCCTAGAAGCTGCTAGGTAAGTGGTTCCATTCATTTGAAGTGAGTATAATGCGTTTAAGAGAGAAAAGGGGGAGGGCAGGGAGAAGACTACAGAAATTATATCGTGTTATTATCTTGTTTGATTTTTTGCAGTAATGCAGATGAGACCTGTACTAACTCTTTGTATACTTTATTTCACATGATTAGTGGATAGTGATAAAACCTTTCAATATGGGGATGATTATATGGTTAATTTTATTTGGAACATTTCTTAAGGTACCTTCAAACCCTAGTTGCCCGGCATTTCAAATGGTATTTGTAGAGTATTTAAATACCTATATCTTCATTTTTCTCTGAGGATTTTTCTAGCAAAGCTTGAATGAGGAGTAGAAAGTAAAGGTTTAAGGTTTAAATCCTCATCCATTTTTTTTTTTTGTTAGTCGTTTATAATTTAATTGATTAGCTCTTTACAGCATTTTGCATGTATTTTTTAACTCTAATGTTTTAGATCATTTATCAGAATAAAGTTTGTTTATAATTAAGATCACTCTATGCAGATAGATGTAGAAAGCTACATTATCCAAGATATGCCTTTATCTGATGATTAACAGGAATTAATTAGAAATATAGTAATTGAATATCGGAAGAGAGATTTATTGTGATCCATATGAAAGAAATCAGAGCAAACTCATATTAATTTTCACTCTTGTGTAAAAAATTATTTACAAATATTCATAAAAAGCTCTATAATTTTATCGGAATTGACTCACTACCTTCTTATAGGAGTGGTAATGAAGAAAAACTAATGGCTTTACTGACTCCTCTAAATGTGAATTGCCATGCCAGCGATGGGCGAAAGGTAAGTTATTTAACATATAATATCCTTCAGTAATTTCTTTTGCCTTGCAATGAGATTTTTTGAAGTTGGCATGTATATGTGTGTGTGTATAGCTTCACGTATGCACAGCCGTATAGATGGCTGTATTTTCCCTGGCATCTTCTCACTGTACACTGAAATGCTGCTGGGTCTGTTATTGGCAGTTCTGACATATTCATAGAGCTGGTGAAGCGTGGATCTTAAGTAAGCCTTTTCTCTGAAATGTCAGACACTGAAAGTTGTTTGTTACACGGAACTGCAGCTTTGTTGGTGATTAAAATTACAACACATACATATTATTTTCTGTTACATGGTAATGGAAACTGGAAATATTTTTTAATGTCCTATTTATCCATCCTTGTTAGGACATTTGCATTTTTGAGTTCTAATTTGGCAGAAGAAGATTCGTTTGCTAGATACTAACACTTTTGTCATTAAAGCCGAGAAAATGTTGGGTATTTTTTTTTTTTTTTTTTTAGATCCGTGGAAGAGGCTTATTTTTTGTTTATTATTTTTATTGGCTTAGGTTTTAATAGCAGTATAGTGAGAGAAAATATATTAAAATAGAAATAGTTTGCATTAATAAACAGTTGTCATAAATGTAAGATAATATATAAAAATGTACACCTGGCAGCTTCACTATCTGCTTCACATTGTTGCTGACTGTAGACTGAAATGTGATTCTTTATAGCCGTTAGTAATTGCAAAGTTTAATAGGCATTGGAAAAAAAAACACTCTGGACTATAAAGTTTAAGACAGCAGTTAATTTTTTTAATGTTAAAGGATAGTTTTTGTATTTTAAAAGCCTAAAATAAACACTGAAAATATTGAGGGATAATTGTCTTGTGTGTAGTATGTAAAGGATGGATTCTTTTGAAATTATTTACAGTGAAATGTTATGGGAAATCCCAAAATGGACGGTGCCTCTTAGAAATAACATTTTGCTTTTAAAAAAATTACGTTTCTGTGCATGATAATTTCATAGATCAAAATTATTCAGTTTTCGTTTATTGCCCCCTACTTTTTTCCCATTTTAATGAAATCCCCAAACAGTGAAAAGTAATTGAATCTCAGAATATATATAATTTGTTATTGTAGATGGCCTGTGTATTATGCCACATTTCCTAATGACAGTTTAGTTTCTCTGGATAATTTTGGAAAAGGCGTCTACTTTCATGGAAGATTAAATTACTTACATATATCAAGCTATAAACCAGCAACAATTGACTCAGCTATTACTCTTGGGAAGTCTTTTTAAATGAGAACTGCTCTTTTTCCCTTTAGTTTTGAAGTAACTGTGGGGGATTTAACACTCTTATGTGTACTTTCAACTCCAAATTTTATTTGGAGCCTCTCAGGAAAGTGACTTCTGTCACAGTGCAGAAAAGGTCCTTCTTATCAGTAGTTAAATGCAGCAGTGGTTTGTAGACAGCGCTTGTTTAGAGCCTGGCCTGACTTGGTTTTCCATAGCTATTTTAATACTATAGAATTTATGTGAAATTACTATAGCAAGAGTCGATTTCCATCCCAGATTCATTCTCCCTTCCTTACCCTTCTACCACACAGCTCCATTTCTAGTGCAGTAAATCATAATAATTGTAGCACGTTATCACTGGTACTTGACAAATGACCTCTTCTCCCTGGTTCAGCCCCTACACAAATGTATAGAACTCCTTTATTTTTCCGTCTCCCCAAAGGAGGATATAGGATAGACTTCCTTTTAACTGAAACCAGTATCTTCCTCATCCAAATTTCTGTGGCTTCTCGTCTGCATTACTCTGTGGCGTTTATCACAGAGTTCCTTGAATTGTAGTTATTCATAAACGTCTTTTTCTTCTACTCCTGTGTCAGCTCTCTGTATTTCGCACAGGACCAAGCCTGGCACTGTGCATGTAGCAGAAGCCTAGGCTGTGACTCTGTTGCTCCCTGATAAACCTAAATTTATTCTCCGAGTGAGAAAACCATCTGTACTCTTTTCCATTTAGAAAATTAAATCAGAAGTCTATGAATTGGAGATTTGATGTTTTCTGTTATGATTACTAATAGTATTCTGTTAATTTATTTTGGGGTGATTATAACATGAAGGAGAACTGTGTATTTTAATGGGTGGAACATTTTTAAGAACAGACCTCAAGTATTATCATCTACTGAAGGATTACTAATATATATTGTGTTATAAATAAGGCAGTAATCTTCCAAAATGTGCTGTTATACGTTTGTACATTGTCAATTTTTTCAAATTAAATTAGATAGAAAATGAAAATTACTTAACCATTTAGTGGGTTTTAATGCTCTGTACATAATATAGGAAATTATTTACAATTGTTCATCCATATTCAAAATGCAAATAAAAGTTCATAATTTAAGTTGACCAATATATGTATTCAGATATTGTCATTTGTGGCAGAAGAGTAATTCTTACTAAATGTACCACCAGTTGCAGTAAAACCATGAAGTGTTAAATGTTCTGGGTCCTAGTGGAGATTAGGACAAGATCCCTTAGTTATGGCAATATCTTCTGTTTTCTTGCTGTTATTATCAAGAAAATGAGATAAGCAAATCTAAGAGCTAAATTACAAGTCTCTCTTTTAGAGATGTTGTCTTTTTTCAGAACATTTGCATGTGTTTATTTTGAATTTGGAAATCAGACTGTATATTAATGAGAAGGTAAAGGTGCTGTTTCCTATATAGTAAATCGGGCATGTAAACTTTTTATTTCTTGAATTTAATTTTAGAACACAGTATAGAATCAAATCCTTTATTAGAGGTTCCCTAACTGACTGTACTAGCGCTTACCTGAACCCTTTCCTGTCTGAGTTTTTACTGCAGTTCCTGGTTGGTACATTTTAAAGCCCTTGGATGTGTTTTGTAATGTTTTGGGGAAGGAAATGTTCTATTTGGTGCTTAGTAGGTGGAGAATTTGTCTAGAGAAATGTGGGGATTGGAGAATTTAATATTTCTTTTTATTGTACTTCATGAGATTGTACAGTGAGAGTATAAATTTTAAGTAATCTCTTAATTCTATACTGTGACTTGATGATTATCTAATTGGGTAATGTGTGAGTGGTTACTATTTATATTTCCCACAGACCGTTGTTTTTCTAGCCTGTAGAGTTCTGAACTAGTAAGATTTTATATAATTTATATTTTTATATTAGACTTTTATTTTATGTATAAATCAGATTTGGAGATTGGCCACTGTAGAAATTTCATTGTTTTCTTTTTTTTTCTTTCTAAAAATCCAATGCAGAGAAGTTTTTTGTTCTACTAAGCTACCTTTTTGTTGTTGTTCCAATACGCTACTTTTATACGTTTATGTATGTGCTATACGCTGATGGCCACTTGAGAAACATTGGGGTATAGATGTAATTTCTTCTTTGATATTCTGCCTGTTAGGATTAGTTATAACATTCCACAATTTCTTATGGCAATTAAGTACAACCGGAACCCTAAAATGGATTGTTCCTGTTCTAAAATTCTTTATTCCCATATTTTTAAACTTAGATTCCTTGCCATTTACTCTCCCTTTGCAGTGCTTTCTATCAATACTAGATGCCTTCTTAGCAATTATCTGTCCTGGCCTTATTTGATATCTCAATTTCAGGTGGTAATAGTCTCTTGTTTCTCAGTATTAATTTTCAGAAGGATACTTTTTTGTAATAAATGAAAATAAATGTTTGACTATATCTCAAATGATCGAAGCACTCAATCCTCTTGAAAAGTCTTTTCATCCCTCTCTGTGTTCTTCCCCTCTCCTACCTGTCTTTATCCCCTCCGAAAAACAATGTCCTAAATGTATCCCTGCATCATTGTAGTGAGCTCAAGGTGGAGGCCGGGCATTACGGTGCATATTCCTCAACAGGAGTAATGTGTCTTTCTGTGTATCTACCATGTCTACCATGTCTACCATTGCCTTGATCATATATCATCAAATAGTTAAAAATAACTAATATCTGATGGGTACTTTTAAATAAAATATTCAGTATAGTTTTGGATATTTCAGGTTTCTTCCTGCTGAAGAAAGAAAGAAATTCTTTCATTCATTCAACCAATCAAACCAACATTCAATACCATGTATAGGTCCCTGTGCTAAGTGTCATGGGAGATACATAAATAAATAGTTAATGATACTGGTTCACAAGGAGCCCATAAATTGATATAATGATTAAGACATTATCTAGGACATCTTCTTGCTGTGGTATAATTATAAAGTGCAGACTTAAGGCAAGACTTCTTTTTCTAGTTTTTTTATTTTTAAAGAATTCATATTTAGGCATGCATATACTTCTATAAAAAACTCACAAATTTAGATGTGAAGAGGTCTTTGAAGAGAGGCATGATTTAAATTCAGAAAAATTAACTGAAGGGTTTCTTTAAATGTCAGATTTCTACTGTGTAAATATTTGCTTCCATAAAATAGGTAATAATGAATAAGACTCTGGGAACGGGGAAAAGTAAAGTGTTTAAAAACACTATCTCCAAATGGAGATCAATCAGAAATAAAGTAGAATTTAGTACTATACCCTGTGATATACTTGAAAGAACCACAAACTGTAAGGTCAGAGAGAGAGTGGATTCTGTTCTTGGCTCTCCCACTTTCTAGGTGTATGACTATGGCTTTAGTTGTAAGCCTTTAACTTGGTCCTTGGTAAGTGGGAATGAATAATCAGACTCTCTCCCGAGGGCCTGTGAGAAGATGAACAGAAACGATGTGGTCAGCCTAGTACCATTTGTAGCACATAGGAGAGCTTCAGTAAAAATTAGATTCTTACTCCTTTGATAATTTTTGAAATTTTTGGACAAATTTCGAATGGATATATACTTTTGAGTGTCCCAGTGTTCCCCACTCTTCACTTAAATTGTCCTTATTATCCAAGGCCTGTCCCAGATGGCATTCGGATAAAATGAGCTATAGGTGACCAGATACAAAGCATATAATTGAATTAATTTGGGGGGAGCTTGGCCTTCCCTTCTCTCCACC